TTAACGTAGGTAAAACATAGAATGGCTATACAAAAGCTAGAGGGGAATAGCGTCAGTTTAACACGGAGGCTTTCGTGACCAACATCATCCATAACAGGCTTTTTTTTGGGTTACATCGCGTAAATAGCATCATCTGATGCGACCGTCATCAATGCCGGCGAGATAAACAGCGTGTGCTGTCAATCGCTGGCCATCACCACTTAAAAACAAATGGCCAAAATCTAAGCAAACTCCAATTTACCACAGATGGCTCCCACAAGCAAGGAAAACAGCAGTGATCGAATGTGACCCCTTGTCGCCCAAAATAGGAAATCGGTCCCCATTATCCCAAGAGGTCCTGTTTACTGTAACCAGACGCTGCCGTAGCTCATTAGTGGCGCAAGAGAACCGTCCACTAGGCTAGACCGTCTCCCTCGCGCCAACCAACAGACACCTGGCGATTGAGAGGCCCAACGCCGCATACGCAGCTGTTATTTAGTCTGTGCCTAGGCTGAAAGCCACGGGCCGCCTCAAGCTTCGTTAATGAGGAATACATAACTGAAAGTTATTTGTGACGAATTGGCGCGCCATTGTATCGCCCCGTCTGTGTACGCCGGCAGTCACCTCATGTCACGAGTCACCTCGCGTTAGTCTGTGGAGCGCAGCAGGCAAAGGGGACTTTGAAATCCACATTGGCACCACGCAGAACGGTGGTCACAAGCAAAGTTCTGAGAAGGGAACTGGAGGGGGTAGATGCTGCTGAGCTGTATTGTTTTGATTTTAGTCAAATTAAATAGCACCCAGCTATCTCTCTGGGTCACAACTTTCTTGAATTCCTGGAGTCTCTTATACAATGCCTTCACTGCGAGCCAACAACACAATTACTGTGATGCTGTGCCGAACAGCTGAAATTTCAAGCACACAAATGAATAAAAAGCACCAAGCCTCTGTGCGTATTCCAAAAACCATTCAGCTTTTTATGGAATACACTGTGGCCCTATTGTCTTCGGTGACATTGAAAATAAATGTGAGCCAATGTGGGCAACTCACAGCAGCAGTGAGGGATTGATAAGACACCTTCCATACTGTGAAAGAGAGGACTCCACATAAATGGGTTTCCAGAGACAAGTCATTGCAGCAGCGATCATAAGTGAATATACCGTGTTGAGGAACCCTTAATTAGAATGAAACTGGTCCAGAAGAGCCATCTATCACTGCATCGCTGCTGCTGTTGTCAGTCTGTTACATTTGCTCAAATCTATTTTGATGGTGATCGAATACAAGGGGACCACAATGCACTTTTTCAGGAACTGGTGGTGATGATTTCTTTGCATATGCACGCATAGAGGCTTTGTGCTTTTGTACACGTGTCTGGGTTGTTACTCGAAACTCATGGTTTTCCAGCCTGCACAATTATACTGTCATGAAAATGGGTTTTGTATTCTAGTCATTTATAGTTTTTTCTAGACATTTACAGATTTGACAAAACTGCCGAAACTGAAACATCACAGTGGCATGCAAGCTCAAACATCTTCATAATCCACTCCATTCTCAAAGTAGTTTTAACTCAAAACTAAAATGTGATGCCTCTTTGAAAATATTTTCTCTACGAACCTAATGCTTGCTCACAATATTTTTCACTGCAATGACCCAGACACTAGCCAGCGTGATATTTCAGTGCAAATGTCACAGAATAAAGTTGAAACCCAAGCCGACTACGACCAAGGTTTTATTTTTTTGTTAAGAACGTTATCAAGCAAAGCCAATGCCATGTTTATTTGAATACGCTTTCAAGCTTGGCATTCCCTGCAAAAGCAGGGTGCATTGCTCATGTTCAACCACAGCGTTTGGATAAAGACTCTGCGACCTCCTGCCATCAACAAGAGCCTTGAGTTCGGTCAGCTGATTAATCTGTGCAGTACAAGTGCCAAGTTGGAGTCTCATTCTCTCCATGAAAACGCTATGTACAACCATTCAGTATTTCAGGAGATATTTTTCACGTGTTCTAAATGGCCGTGACTCAAACATTTACTGACTGAAATTCAGAACCCGGTTTTATTTTGTCTGAAAGCACAAGATGTGCACCTAGGATACCAGCTGAGCTGACATTGACACAGCCCCGGCGTCCCTCGTGCCGTGCAGATATAGTATCGATGCTGCACGGGTGAATAACTGTTGCTCGTACAATCCTGTACCGTAACGCGGTAGTTGCGCTCTTGAAAAACACCGCGTTCTGGAAAAATCGCGTTAAATTAAATAATATATAGCACAGTCCGCGATAACATTAGAGATGCGTATGCAGGCTGAACAAAGACTGAGGCACGTGGGTAGCATCTAGAAGCATCTAGAAGCATCCAGCAGCATCCAGCAGCATCCCGCTTTGCGTGATGCTATGCCGAGGCAGCCGTACGACCGCTTATTCTTACTCGCGCGGCGTAGGTTCGATCCCAACCCTGGAGTTTGCGTGTTCTCCCGGTGTTTGCCTGGATTTTTCGCCGGGTCCTCCGGTTTTTCTCTCCACATTTAGAGTCAATATGCGTTTAAGAGTATTTGGCTTCTATAAGCCACGTCGTTGAGCTATCATTTGTGACAGCCAGGTCACTTTTGGAAAAAGAGCTGTATAGCTCAATGGGCCTTACCTGGTAAAATAAAAAGAGTAAACAGTTTAAATCTCTGCTGGGGATGAGCCATGCTAGCGCCGCGTTGCTTGTCGTTTCCCGTCGTGCGGTGGGTTTGTGCCAGCTCTGTGCAAGTGGAATGTGCTGCAGAACGTCCCTCGGCCACACCGGCCAAACGCACCGTCACGCTGTGCGAGGGTCGTGTGCGAGGGTCAGGTGCGAGCGTCTCCCCGAATCAAACGGACACCGTGAGGGGCCATCCATTTAGTACGTACGCATGGAGGGGGAGGGGTTAACCCAAATGCGTACGCTTGCGTATGGGGGATCTACTGACAATGTACGTACGCATAGGAAATGGGGGGGGGGGAGGGGGTGTGAAGCCTCGATAATAATTTGTCTACATTGGCCTTCAAATGAGTTAGATAGTCCGGCGGTGATCTGTTTGCTTAAACACGTTAATATTATTGATCCTTGATCGTTTCTGCGTGCATTAAATATCGGCCGTTCTATAGGATTTGGGTGGGGGGGGGCGTCAGGCTGTACGTACGCAGGTGGAGGGGGGGGTTGTAAAAAGTTCGCGTGCGTACAGAGAGGGGAGGAGGGGTCAAGTTTTGACGGATCTTTGCCAAAGTACTAAATGGATGGCCCCTTGACGGCACCGAAACACGAGTGGAAATTCCCCCATTGGTCGCACATGTACTGAATAAAAAAAGTGAAGTTTTGCGGCGTCTGCGCGAGTTCCCAGCGAGCGCACGCCCAGTACACAGACGTCCCCGTGGTGCGTTTCGGATAGCATCTGCCGTGTACATCTGTACATCACAGGGTCACCATATCAAGCTTTGGTCATTAAGTGCCGTGAAACAAAACACTTTGAAACGACGCGCAAATTCCAAAGACCTTTACGTCTATTTAAACACTTGCAAGGGATTTTTAAATAAATATATATAAAATTTAAAAAAGCGTCATACTTGGGATGTTTCACCCAATTCCTTTTCGCGAATTTTTTTTCTTGCACGTGGCCGGAAACGGCGGCGAGAACAGAGCGCGGACACGCGAGACGGGGGCATACTTTGTTGTACTGCACTCCCACGTGCACCTCGCTCCTTACGACCGAGCCAGCGGCAAATGCGCCAGAATCTGTGCAGGGGCTCAACGTGAACGGTGCTTGAGGGTTGGCAGCTAAAGTGGTGGGCGGCAAAGGGCAAAGGCGCAGCAACGTCCACCGTTGTACTGTACTGCTCCGACGTCTGTGCTCCCTCCGCACCATCGCCAACCTGCATTGACCAGGGCAGTGACGTTTCGGTCAAGCAACCCGCACGACCCTCACGGCGTGGTGGGGGGGGGGAGGCCTTCATCCAGCAGCGGACAGTACCTGCCCTACACAGATAGATGCGTGTGGCACACACAGACACGCGATTCCATCTCTGCGTGATCCACCAACGCCACCGAGTGTCTGCAGCACAGGTGTGCACCACCACCTCTACCACCACCACCACCACCAGCCCCCCCTGGTGTATGATGAAGGCCCCACGACCTCGCAAGTCGTACAAACAGTGGCCCACGAACACCTACGGTGAAACATCGAAAGGTCGCACAAATAACCCTAGCAGCGGCTAATGACCTCAAAAAGACAAAAAAAACAAATAAACGGCGCATACAGTATCACCCAGTAGGGTTCACCACGGCCCACCATGACCCTATTGCGTAGAGAACGTCCCAGGTCGCTTAAGAGGAGCCCTCTCATGACCCGTGGCGAAACATCGGGGAGGGTTACAAATAAATCACCGATGGGAGCTTCACGAACAAAGGCCGCAAACAAATTGATACCCGAGGAGAGGGCCCAACGTCCCGACCGTAGTCTCGCAACCACAACAACAACCACAATAACAACAACAATAACAACAACAAGGCCAAAGTGTCCACGGCGGCAGCGAGAATGACGGACGGGGGCGATGATACAACAGGAGACGTACTGGGGGCCCCGTGCTGTGGCTAACGCGAATCCGCTGTCGCTGTTCGGCTCCCCGAAACGAACCCAGGAGGCCGCCAATTGTCTTGGTGGATCCGTGTCGCCCGGACCACGGGGAAGTTACTCTGATGGTGATGATGATGAGGAGGATCCCCTTGCACTGCGCGGTTCTCGCTTACACACACACGGCGCTTGTGTTGGAAGTATCGCTGGGTTAGGCAAAGACCCCACTCCTGGCAAGGGAGTCTGGAGGACTTGGCGAGACTCTCCATGCTGAGCGAATGTCCCTTTGTAGGGCATGCAGTGTCGGTGGTGTTGTCGGTGTTGTTGTCGGTGTTGTTGTTGGTGTTGTTGTTGTCGGTGTTGTTGTCGGTGTTGTTGTTGTTGTTGTCGGTGTTGTTGTTGTTGGCGCAGGGCACCTGACGGCTCCTCACCTTGTCGCCGGGGCAGCCTCGGCCTGCGCGAGAGTCGCTCCTTCGTCCCAGCGGACCCCTCTGTGCGGTCCGCTCGCCCACTGACGATGCCGTGCGGCGGTGTCGCTGTCGGTGGCGGCTCCGTCTCTGCTTGACGGGGGCCCCGAGTCGGAGGCTCCTCCCCGGGCTGGGCTGGGCCGCCTCCACGCCCGCCCGCCCGCCTCGCCAGCGCCGCCACGACGAGAGGGGACACGCGGAGTCCATGTTGGGTGAGGCAATCGGCGTCCATGTTGGGTGAGGCAATCGGCGTCCATGTTGGGTGAGGCAATCGGAGTGCAACACCCCCCCACCGCCCCACCCCCCCCCTCAACCCCCCCCACCGCCCCCCCCCCCCCACCGGCCCCCCCTCAATCCCCTCCCACCGCTGCCAACGACAGATGGCGTCACGGAGTTCGCGCTCAGCGTGGATGACGTCACGACGCGCACTGCTGCCCCTGACCACGATGGCGGCTGCCCCCTGCTCGAGCTTCCCGCGGGCGCGGGGCGGCGTGCGCGTCACGTGTCCGGCCCCGCGTGGTTGGCGTGCCGCTGATTCAACAGCTCCAGGTTCAGGTACAGATACTCCAGACTCAGGTACAGAGACTCCAGATTCAGGTACAGAGACTCCAGACTCAGGTACAGAGACTCCAGGCTCAGGTACAGAGACTCCAGACTCAGGTACAGAGACTCCAGACTCAGGTACAGAGACTCCAGACTCAGGTACAGAGACTCAAGACTCAGGTACAGGGACTCCAGACTCAGGTACAGAGACTCCAGACTCAGGTACAGAGACTCCAGACTCAGGTACAGAGACTCCAGACTCAGGTACAGAGACTCAAGACTCAGGTACAGAGACTCCAGACTCAGGTACAGAGACTCAAGACTGAGGTACAGAGACTTAAGACTCAGATACAGAGACTCCAGACCCAGGTACAGAGACTCAAGACTCAGGTACAGAGACTCCAGACTCAGGTACAGAGACTCCAGACTCAGGTACAGAGACTCCAGACTCAGGTACAGAGACTCCAGACTCAGGTACAGAGACTCCAGATTCAGGTACAGAGACTCCAGACTCAGGTACAGAGACTCCAGACTCAGGTACAGAGACTCAAGACTCAGGTACAGAGACTCCAGACTCAGGTACAGAGACTCCAGACTCAGGTACAGAGACTCCAGACTCAGATACAGAGACTCCAGATTCAGGTACAGAGACTCCAGACTCAGGTACAGAGACTCCAGACTCAGGTACATGGGCTCCAGGCTCAGGTACAGAGACTCCAGATTCAGGTACAGAGACTCCAGATTCAGGTACAGAGACTCCAGATTCAGGTACAGAGACTCCAGACTCGGGTACAGAGACTCAAGACTCAGGTACAGGGACTCCAGACTCAGGTACAGAGACTCCAGATTCAGGTACAGAGACTCCAGACTCAGGTACAGAGACTCCAGACTCAGGTACAGAGATTCCAGACTCAGGTACAGAGATTCCAGACTCAGGTACAGAGACTCCAGGCTCAGGTACAGGGTTCCAGACTCAGGTACAGGGTTCCAGACTCAGGTACAGAGACTCCAGGCATAGGTAGAAGGCTCTGTGAAGGTTGTAGAGTCTTAAATTACAAGCATACAGCTCCGTACCCCTGCGTTCACCTTGTAAGAAATGAGTGGAAGAGATACCTCCTAAGAACCCCCTCATCAGTCACTCTCAAGACTGCATCTCCCTACAGAGTTTCCTGGGGTTTCCAAGTGAACAAATTCAAATATATTCACACACACACGTACGAAAAAAACATGGACATTATTTACAAAATATACTTTGTAAAATAGTAAGGTTGAACAAATTAACAAAGTATGGACATCGGAAATGTGAGTTTTTTAGAGGTTGGTTGATATCACGTATTCTGTCAAATGTGTAGCATTTGTTTTGGAATATTGTCCCATTACAGTTTAAACAATGTTTTCGTGATATAAGACCACTTTGATCAGAATATTTATTTCGACTGGAGGAATCCGATGGGCTGGCGGAGGCAGAGCGACTGGTTGTTTTAAAGGGCAGGGCCTAGGGCATGGGTTGACAAATATGTGGCTCTTTAAGGACTGCTGTTTCGTGACTTTGTTTATTAAGGACCCACCGTCTCGTATTCACCACACAGTGCATTTCGGCTCTTGAAATATTGAGTTTTTTGTTATCGAATTCTAAAACAAGTGGCTCTACTTGTTACTTTTTTGGTTTGCCGGCACCTGTCCTGGGGGGAGGAGGTTGTTTTCAGTATGCTCATGAAGGACACAACAACTGTGACTCCATAGAATAGCTTTGAATTAACAGCATAACGGGTCTTTCAGACTTGCTTCAACATGATTCGTTTGTTCATGCCGACATTACTGAGTGATGCGTTGTATACTGTGGGTGTTTGCACAGAGGCCCCAACTTGTTGAAATGAAAACGGCTAGGTTGGCACAGTGGGGAGGCACGGGTGACGATTCATCTGCCAGTGATCTCAATCAGTCAAAGCCATGGCACCTGGGTCTGCCCCGTGACCTGTCAGTGAGCCTTCGACACTTCACGTGGCCTCAAAGTGCAGCTAGTCTGGCACAAGCGCTGTGGTGACCTCACCTGCACTTAGTGGCGAATGGCTGCTGTTTTTCCTGTTTACGTGTTTACACGTGTGTGCGTTGACGTGTGTGTGTGTTTCCACGTGGGGCGAGGGGTAAGTGTAGCGGTTAGCACGCTGCGCTTTGATTTCCGCTCACGGCCAACACCAGTGACGATTACTTGAACCGGTCCTGGGACTCACCTCGGTCGACGCAGCCTCAAATGAGTACCTGGTGCGGTGTGTAAACATCGCCACTGGGGAGACAAAGGCGGCCGGGCGTGGTGCTGGCCACTCACCCCCTCGTGTGCCGTGCCGGCCTTCATAGGTGCTCGCTAATAGCACTTGCCCCTACAATCTGTTAAGGCTACACGGGGGATCTTTTATCCTTATATTCTTGATTCTTTCTGTAAAGTCACGTAGAAGGGAAGCGATAAAATAATACAAATATAAAAAATTAAATTCTCACGACGTGTGAAGGTTTCACACCTGATGATGATTGCTTGTGTTGCAGTCGAAACATCGTGATAATTTTTAAAATATATATTTTTATTTTTTTATTGTTTCCCTTCTACGTGACTTTACCGAAATAACCAAGAATATGAATCCCTGCAGTCACGAAAGCATTAAATAAATAAAAATATTTGATCTTTGTTTCCACGTTGTGTGCGCGTGTTTACGCGTCGTGGTTACACGGTGCGGAGTTCACGCGCGCACAGAGATCGCTTCGAAGCAAATTCCGCTGTCAGTCAGAGAGGCATCGTCTTCTTTGCGTGTAACGTTACAACATAACTCAGCAGGCAATACGCCAACCTTGTCCATACATCGCTCCCTCCATCTACCGGTTTGAAGTGTGTTTGACACATCCCATCAGCCACACGGACCTTCTGGGGGAGCGCATACTTTCAGCAGAGTTCATTCAATGCGCGTACACAATCAGTGCCGCCGCAGTTTTGAACCGCCAGGCGGCGGTTGCGCGGTCGTTGCGTTGTGTAATAAATAATTTAAGTTTTTTTTATTGTTATTATTATTACACGCTTTTTATTAACCGTGTCTATTGTTGTATCCTCAAATCTTGTAACTCAATTTTTACCCACTTCCCAATGTTGTATCGACTGCAAACTTGGTATGCTTATGTCATACTGATGACAATACTGTATTCTATCATTAAAATAAAAAGTATATATTTTTACTAATTCTTTTTAATGTTCTTTTTTTGCTTGGGTCTAATTGTCCACGCTCAACTGACGTTGGCTGTAAAGCACCACGGTCCCCTTACGTTGTGGCGAGCTTCGATTCCACTCCCTGGAGTCGTGGAGTTCTTTCGATACTAGTACGGTACATTTTATTAAAGCGTGTTTAAAAAATAAAAGTTTTTTTTAAAACATTACTTTTACAGTGTGGTACGCAGCTGTAAAAAGGAGACATTACTAATGTATTCTGTTTATCACTAACGGCAGACAGCCACAACAGCGCAGTGGCAGGACCCCGGGGAATCTATCGGATTACTCAAATGACACAACTCGATTTTGTTTCGGTTTAAAAAAAAACCCAATAAGTTAATTATTTCTTAGGCGATCCCCAAGTGTGTGTTCACGTATATTCCTATAATTCAAGTGAGCCATCACACAAGCTGGCCATGTCAGCATGAGAGTGGCACGTGCGATTGATCACAAAGACCAATGAATGATGCGACATTCTGCGTTCAACGTTTGGGAAACTCTCGCCTTGTTACAACAACAACAACGATGATGATGATGACAAGTTGTCCTGTGGCCTCATGTGCGGCATTGCGTGTGTTCCGCCGCTCTCACCTGGTCTGTCAAAGACAAAGTTCCCCCGTGTAGCCTTAACATACTTTAGAGGCAAGTGCTACAAGCGAGCACCTATGAAGGCCGGCACGGCACACGAGGGGGTGGGTGTGGCAAGCACCACGCCCGGACGCCTTTGTCTTTCCAGTGACGATGTTTACACACTACACCAGGAACTCGTTTGAGACTGAGTCGACAGTAAACACAACAACTATCAATGACCATGAACAACAACCACCTCAACAGCAACCACCACCAGCAGCACGCGATCAGCAACCACCATCAGCACAAACTACCACAACAGCACTAACAACCACCAGCTATAAACCAAAGCCGCTTTTAATCACCAACAACTGTAATCATTACCAACAACCACTACCTATCTTCTTTGGTTCTTTCGGTAAAGTCACGTAGAATGAGAATAAAATAATAAATTGATAAAATAAACTAACACAATAATATTCTCACGACGTTTCGGCCACAACACAAGCGGCCTTCATCAGGTGAAGGGAGCGAGACTGTCTGGTAGGACAGCGCTGGAGTGAGAGAGCCACGTTCAGATCACGGCTTTTAAGCTGTGTGAGAGGAACAAAGAGCCTTGACGAAGGAATTAGCATAAAATTTAGCATTGAAAGGCTGAATGATTAGCTTGTGACTGGTCACAGAAATAGCTATGTTAAAAGTTAAAGCATACACATCCGCAGAGGCACCCATTGTTAAAAGGAATTAGCATAGAATTTAGCATTGAAATAGCTAAATTAAGGCATTCGCTTGTAACTGCTACAGAAATAGTTACGTTGAAGTCAGAGCATACACATTCACCGAGGCACTTAGTACAAAT